TTGCTCTTATTGAAAACAGCTCTAAAACGATGTATTAATTAGCCCATGCCAAGGATAATGCGACAAATTCTTTTGAAATTTATTAACTATCAAATGGAAATAAAATCTATTAGGCTTAATAATTCACATATAGCATTTTAAAAGTTATAGATTTTTAAAATCCACTAATCAAAAACATTTTCTTCTGAGAAAACCGTATTCCCTGTCTTAAATAATTTAACTAAAATTAATTATCATTTCATGAAATTATAAAAAAATTCGAAATCCAAAATTAATTGACATGTGTCAAGTGTTTATTTAATCTTCAAGGTGTTAATGTGAAGTGCCAAATAAATTTATTAACTACATAATTCTTCACTACCTTTACTGGTAATTAGTCTCTTTATATGTTATATAAGTAATACACACACAAATTTATTGAAATGTTAACAAAGAGAAGCACTTTCCAAAGATTGCATATAATATGTAATTAATTCATGAGCACTCAACAGATAATTATATACGTATAAATACATACGAAAATATATGTCAACGATAAATTAATCTCAGATGTACACAAAACTCAACCAAAATTATTCTTAATTTGTCAAAACAGCAGAAGAAGACCTCAAACTAAATGGAAATTCTATATTCCCAACCGTACTGCATAATCAGTTTAAGGATTCCTTATATTCAAACACAGTTCACAAAGAATCTTAAGATGATACTACATTATATTAAGCAGATCAATGTAGTAACTAAAAGAATATCATATAGTAATTAGCTATCAGTAGTAGACAATAGTACCTTCACAAATCAGGATTAAATTATATATTTAAAGCACTGCATTTCTACAGCAACATCCGCACTCAAAATAATCTGAGAACATTATTCCATTCTCTTTCCAAACGGCATAATTGTGATTTCTCAGGCAACCCTATTTTACAATGGATTTTCAAAAAAGTCAGCTAATTTTATTAGATTTTTTTTGATTTAATGAAAAGAGATATTGAAAACATGATCTATTATATTATTTTTTATTTCGATTTTTGTGAGACTCTTTATTATAGTAAAAGGTATATCGAAAGAACATAAAAAGGAGTTCCATGAATTTTCAAAAAAAATTTAATTATACTACTGTGATCATAAATAATGGGAAAACCATGGATTCAGCCCAAACAAAATTATTATATCTCCACTATCTATATATGACTATAAAGACTAAATCGAAAACGCCACAGTAGAAGATAGCATCAGCTATTTATACTGATAAATGTTATGGAGTATGAATGGACATAGTTGGAAAGAAGTGAATTTATAACATAAACTTGGGTACGTGAACTTCATGTCGATCTGGACAATTTTTGTAAATCTGAAAGAAAACAAATTCATAAAATGATGAATCAAAAGACTTGTTGGTTGGGCAAGAGTTTGTCAAAGAAATCCATGCCGCATACAACAGAAAAAGGAAGAAAAATATATTTCGAAACGATTTACAACTACAGCCACTCTTATAAGATAGGTATAATTTCGGTTAATATAATATATTTATTTTAGAATTTTATTTAGATTTATTTTATTGCATCACTTGAGATTCTCTTCTTAAAAGAATTATGGTTATATTGACAACCTGGCAATCCTGACCTCAAATGTGACAACTACATTAATATAATTATATTACTTTTTACAAAGCTTCTATTCAATAATTAATAATCATTGATTATTTTCATTTTACTTAATAATTTTTTATTAATTCACTGTTTCGTAAAAATGGATATCTCAATAGTTATCCACTCATGTTAATTATATTAAATAATATTTTGTGTATTATTGCTCTAAACGCGTCGTTCACGACATGTCGTGTCTGTTCAAGTTCTACGCCCAGAAATAAAGTTTCCAGTACGAAGTAATATTAGTGCTTGAATTGCAAAATGTGTTCGATGTATTCTCTTAGTTTTATATCAGCAGTCCATTTTCTTTACTCTGGAGATGAAATAACATAGAAGTCCGAATGATGGCTGATATTGGCTCCCTCCTTAAACCACCTCAAATAGAGGTTCAGTATTGTATATTTCAGACTTCTAGTTAACATCATCCTGCATGTCTAGTCTATGAAATGGCATCTAAATGAAAACATAGGGAAATTTAACATGTTAAAAATATATACTTCTAAAAAAGATTAATCGAGAATTACAGCGCAACAACACTTACTAACCAGACCATAGTTTTTAACTGCAGGCATTTGTGTTCCTCTGAAAATACTGCAAGAAGTTATCCATTACCAGGTAAAAAATCCTTCCTGATACTTTATGGTTGCATCAGCAGTTCAAAAAAAAATGATTACCATAGAACTACTTCTACTAAAGACGTTTGTATCCTTTGACTGCGGATAATGTTACAACACGTCCTGCAACGTTCGCAATTTTCACCATCGGTGACAGCAAGTTCATTCTGGTACGTTTGCCGTCCTTTATTCATGCAGCATTCTCTGAAGGTTCTGAACAGGTCGTCATATGATCTCAAGATAGGGTCTGAGTAAGATTGTAAATCACATTTCTCCTAATGGGCAGTTCTGTAATCTTACATTTACGATAATGTTGCTAAAAGTAATTGGTAGGTAGCAATCACTTACTCTGTTCTGAAATGTTTGCCTTATCCTTCTCATTGCTAGAATATATCAGAGTGATAGATTTCCAGCTAAAGGTATTTGTGTTCGTTGCATTCGTTTTCGGTCAATTATTTTTGCATGTGAAATATTTTTTTTTTGCTGTGTAACCCACTTCACTTTCAAATGTTCTAAATAATTAACTACATTATCTGTAAAACAGTTCTGATTGAAATTGTCTTTCTAAATAAGACATAAGTATTAAGTAATCTTTCAGTTATATTAATGCTTCTTGAATTATTGACAAGATCTTATGACTTACCATTCCATAGAGTATGTAAAGGAAAGAGCGTATCTAAGTCTATATGGACTAACTGAAGTCATTTGCATACTTTTGCTTTTGATGATATTACAATCAGTTTTTTTTCACAAAAAACTTACCTTTATCTTTCGGAAATTTTGCGCTTGAAAGTGTTTGAAAAGCAGCGATCATGTACTGGTCTTAAAAATGTGTGTTGGTACAGGTCAAAGTGGAATACTTGTAGCTGTTGATATTTGTGTCCCCTGGCTTCTAATAAAGTTATGACACACTCTCAGTATCTTTTGCTTTCGAATGCATATATAACCTTTCATTCATGACAGTGCTACTATTAATTATTGATAAGTAATAATAGCGTATCTTTTTCAAGAGTTTCTAGTGCTGTTCAAGTGCTGTAACTGCGGCATTTGCAGTATTCCCCTTTTGTTATAGTATTTTTCATTTGAAGTTATATTTTTGCGTTAAATACCACGCGACAGGTACTCAGCATTCCACAATGGTTCTAAATGTGCAATAATATAATATCCAAATCAGGATTGGTTAGTTGGTTAAATCCCCCTAATTGAAAACATTTGTAGTCTTCTATATAAACAATGCAATTATTAGTCATTCACAAGATATGGTGACTTCCTGAGAGAGTGTAAGTCTATGTGAAATAATTATGTACTCACCCTCATCTCTCCATCTTTCGGGACTTTGGCGCTTGCAGTTCCTGCGAAATGAGGAGTTCCTAATAAATGTCTACCGTATTTCATTTATGTTTCATTTTCCAATAGATAATTCATAATATGATCTCTTGATGAGGTTCAAGGAAAGTAGTAGGTTAAATCTGTCTAACTGACGTCATTTATAACTCTCTATTTGTAAGTTTGCAAGTGAAACTGATTGACAAGCAGCAATTACTGACTATTCTTGTTATTGTTGAAGCTTGTCAGCACTCTTCGTTGTCGCTGGTACTACTCAAAGTCGAACTAGTGCTATTGAAAACGTTTGTATCCTTTCACTTGGAATAATGTTGTAGAAAGTCCTCCAACGTCGTTAATATTTATAGAGAGTTTATAGAGAGTTTTGCCTGCTGCAGAAACTTCTTTTCACAGAACTTTCTACTTTCCTTTTTACTTTTACTTCTCGAGAATTTGACCCTTAAAGTTGTTGCGAAGCAAGGAGTTCTGAAAAAGGAGCTCTTTCTGCGTTTTATGCATATAGCACTCCCAATGGCTACGAATAAGTTATAATATAGGTTAGGTTACAATATAATTTCTAGATTAAGTTAAATCTTTCTATCTGGATGCATCTGCAACCTCATGTTTGTGATAATGATATCAATAGTAATTGACAAGCAGCAAATACTTACCATTTTCGAGTGTTTTTGAGTAATCGTCTTTGTTGTCAGTGCTGGTCAAAGTCCTCCTGTTTCTGATAGTATTATAATGGACTCGTTACCATTCGCAGTATTCGTATATTGCTTTTGAATGCATGTATAGCCTTGCATTTATGACAGTGCTGTTATTGAGTTATTGATAGGTAACAATAGCGTTTCTTTTTCAAGAGTTGCTAGTGCTAGTCTAAATGGATTAGCTGCAGCTTAAGATATTTAAATCTTTTGGCTTCTGACAAAGCTGCAATTAGTTCCGCAGCATTCAGCATTCGTGGAATTTGCCATGCTTTTTAGACTTGAAGCATTTTCGTTGTTGAAATGAGTGTTGTTGCAGATATTCATATCCTTCCATTTTTAAAAATGCCACGAACATTTCTTCAATAAAATGTTGACTTTTTTCTGCCTGCTGTTTGGCGTTTGAAGTTTTTGTTTCACATAATAAAGTTTTTGGGATACCTGACATGTGTGTTCGGTTTAATTCGTCTAGTTATCTCCAATGGACTCCAATGAGTCATAACAAGATCTCCAGATTAGGTCTGAACGAAGTCGGTGGTTATATCTGTTCAACTGGTAAGTTGCGTGACCTATCATTTATGACAATACTACTTCAAGCGCTGCAGAGGTGTAAGAAAATTGCAGAGGTGTCTCTGAGTGTAAGGAAGAGTGTAAGTTTATATAATAGAATTCTGATAATTCTCCAGGGCGTTCTGTCCATGAAACATGCATTTCCGAATCTCCGGAGCTTTGCGGTTGAAGTTTTTGTTTCATGGAGTATGAAATTTAGAAAAATGTCATTTTTACCGCTTTTTATGCATGCAGCATTGGTCCGCAATATTCCCAAAGAAGTTATAATAATCTAGTATAGGTCCAAACAGAATTTTTGGTTAATTCAGCCTAACTAAAGACGTTTGTTATGTTGCATTTCTGACAAACCTTGCTAATATGAAGTCACTTTTGGTTGTTAACAAGAACTCATGACTTACTGTTCTAGAGAGTTTGTGAGCATAAGAAAATATATTAGTTAACTTCAGCTTAAGTTACTTGCATCCAACTCCAAGTTATAATGCTCTAGTAAGTTATTTCCATGTAACATTCACTTTTATATACGTGGAGTTTATGGCCTGAAGTTTTCTGTTTTACGGAATACGGTATTTGGTATAAATGGCATATTTTTAACGTTTCCTTAATACAGCATTTTCTAATGGTCACAAGTATGTCAAAAAATATTATCTCTAAAATAAGCATCTGTATCCTTGCATTTAATACAATGCTACTCTCAAGTTGCTGACAATAACTTATGACTTGTCGCTCCATAGAGTATAATATTAAGTAGAAGATATTTGTAGAAGATATTTATACTGAAGGTATTTGCAGCATACTGCTACTGATATTACTACAGTGACTTCTTTCCAGGAAACATTCACCATCATCTTTCTGGAGTCTGCTTAACTAGAGATATTTGCAAAGTTCTGTTTGTGATAACTTTGTTTATGTGGAAAAGCTGTAGCTTAAGATGTTGCAAGAAATATTTTACCATTCATTTTTGGTTTTTCAGCATTCTTCAATGATCATAAATAGATAACAATGTGTTCATCAAATTGTGCTTAAATGGAATCATTGATTTAATCTATCTAAGCGGAGATATTTGTAATCTTTTGTTTGTGACAATCTTTCCGTTATTGACAAACAGAAATCACATAGTACTCTCGAGAGATAGTAAACACTTAGACTGTTACACGTACTGGCACCGTCCCTGAAGACATCCCTGTCTTTCAGTCTTTGAAAATGCTAGAATTTAAAGATTATTCCCGTAACATCCATTTTCAGTTCTCAAGAATTTGGTGCGTGTAGTTTATTAAGAAATAAAGATTTTTAGATGAACAGCATGTTTATCACGTTTCAATCATGCACCATTCAACGGTTACATAAAATATCTCCAACTTAGAGCTATATATATATATATTTTGCCATTTTTCGGAGTGCGGCAAAAAAGTTATTCTTACGAAGCATTTACAATATGCCTTTCAAAATGCTCTCGAAATTTATCTGCTGTGTAAAACGTTTCTTAGAAATCAGATTGCACGTTATGTTATAGAATGACTTCAGCAAAATATAGTAAGAAATCTCTACAGTGACAATGGACTGACTGATCCAAATGACATAAAATTATCATAATTGAAAATTAAGTTGAACTTACATCGGATCAAAATGTATGTCATTTGTTTTAACAGAAATCTATTTTTTTCCTTTCCTTTTTCTTAGCTCAGCATATATATCACATAATGCTGGAATTTCAAGACAATTACACTCTTTTGGATGTGGTTTTGATGGCCTTTCACGCTTACACTCAGAGAAGCTAGGATATGGAGTAGTGCACTTTACACAGTGTGTAGGATATTTATCAACGTTACATTTCGGAGGATATCTGGATGGCCTGCAGCATCGCGACGTTATCCTAGCACACCTCGGATTTTCTTCTTTACCGCATTCCATTAACGTCCTATCCTCTCTATCCGTTGAACACGCGGTTTGTGGTACTTCTCCTCTGCAGCGTTTTTCAAATTTTGGCATTTTCAGATTTTCATAGCAACACACAACCTTTTTCACCCTTCTTAGTTCGGGGCACTCTATCCATGTTTGCGTATACTTACGCTTAGCCTTATCTGATGTACAATAATAAAGATCGTCATAACGAGGTACAACATCTGGACATTCGACTTTACAACACTCATCTATCTGAACTCCACATTTTAGTTTTTGTTCCAAAGTGCATTTATCTCTTGGATATTCTTTTTTGGGTTTTGGCTTCGGTTTTAGCAATGGCTTACATGCATTCTCCAAGCAATAGTCGTCCTTTTTCGGTTTAGGAGGTTTACATCTGTCTTTTTTTTGACAACAGGACTTATTACAACTATCTTCTTGTTTTTTCGGTTCAGACTTTTTACACTTCTTCTCTTGAACGCAACCTGTATTTTTACAGCCAGCCATGAATCGAGAACACATTTTATTAACAGAGTTAAGACAGACAGGTCGGCCGACAGACGTCAAGAGCAACATATTATAGAAACAGTGAATTTTAACAGAAGATTTATGCGAAACAGATTTGATGAAAAAAGAAAATATATGATTTTATGAAATTTGTTATCAAATATATTTAATATGATACTACTTGCCTACTTATTAAAAATAAATTTGAATTAATTCATAGTAAAAATCAATAACGTAAAGTTTATAAAACTTGACAATATTTTGTGTAGATTCATATTAGAATAAAATTTTAAGTAAACTAAGTAAGTCAGTAATAAAGTAAAAATAAGTATGTAGGTCAATTATTCCCAAGGGATATGTCTAGAGTACAGGAGTACGGATTTGTTCGAATTATGAAAAACAACTCTCATGACATAAAAATAATACAGGCTTTTTTATTATAAAAATTTTTTTTAAATATATTTGATTTATTAAATGTATTTAATTATCTAATAATGGAAAAAAAGATATAGAATTAAATTCAATAAATCAGCCTTTTTTGAAATATTACGCCAGTGTTAATTATAAATCATTTTAGCAAAACTGGACGATGCATTGCTTAACATGTATTTTTTTTTTGAAATGCTTATCACCCAGCCGTTTGCTGGATATGTCTTAGTTGTAATTTAAAACTTAAGTTTATTTAACCACTTCTAATTTTAAGACGTATTGATTTTTTTTTTTTTAATTTGTTTCTTTTGCACCTTATTCAAAAACAACACCACCACCTGCTTCTTCCTCTTATCCCACAGTCTTGCCAGCTAGGTTTAACTTGACAGAATTATTCTCATATTTTGTCATACTGTTATATGAAGTTTATACCACCAAAGGTGAAGACTTTAAGGAGGTTCGTTCCGAAGATAAACGTCTGGTGCTATATTCACTATGGAACTTATTAAATTACTTATATAGCAAGTTGATTTCAACATAGGTAGATAGGTAGTCCTCGCATTGACCTAATAGGTTCATAGCGATTTCAGGTAATAGTTCTTAAAAACAGTTAGTGATAGTAAACATGGTCTAGAATGCATTTGTCATTTGTGAAATTTATGAGATGGTTTATCTTAAAAGCAAGAACAAATTCCAGCATCTCAAAAATAAAAGGTTTTTATCATAGTTTACGAGAAAACCAAACAGCAAAATAGAAGAAAAGTTTCTTTCAAACCCTGGTTTCTATGTGTTACTGCTAGTGATATTTAGCGTTACAACTACACAGTGCCCTATTAAAATAACTATAAATAACTATAAATTTTACTATATTTTTCATCAAATAAGTGTTTGCAGAGGGTACTGGAGACTTGACACAGACTTCAGCTACACCCACCATTTTTCACTTTTATCATCAAGTGTTTGTCTAGTTTTCGGAATATATGCTTCATAGCCCTAATTACCATACTTATTAGATTCTTTGAAAGGTAGGCGTTAATTTCAGTAAAATTATCAACCACTTTATGATATCATTAACACAGGCTTAAAGACCAATCTTCTTCAAAGTCCGCACTCTTTATAACAGAATAGTTTATATTGCGCTTAATGTCATCGAGTTTCAAGAGTACCGAAAGGGCTCATATTATTACTAAGATAGAGTACTGTGAAATCCCTGTTAAACGCAAACTCTTACAAACAGTTAAGTTTATGCGATGAGACCTAGGCCTTCATATTAATTTTTCAAATAAACATATTCGTTTAAACAGTCCGTTTTTGTAACTAGACCATTCGCTTAAACCAGATTTCACTATAAGTACATTTATTTAACGAAATTATTATTAATCCTGAATCTATTAATATAGGAAAAAATTTCTTAAAAGACATTCTTTAATTAAAATATTTTAAAGGTAACCATATGATGGTGACCAAGTTCAAAAACGTCTATTAGTTTAGTTAATAGTTTTTTATATGAACTTTTAGGCTGTAAATATTAGGGTTTGAACCTGATTACAATTAAATTATGGATTATGCGTTTATACACAAAGCCAAGGTACAATTAAATTATGTTAGAAATTTAATAACTATTTTTTTTTTGTTATTAAACTAAAATTACTGTTGCTTTGTTGTTTTTCAATTAACGTATAAAACACAGCTATATAAATCACCCTAACTGTTGAAAATTGCTGTGTTTCCGGAGTTTGAGAATGCAACCCAAAAATTTTATATGAACAATTAGCCCAATAGATAACTGCTCTGACCATTGATGATGAATATTGGAAAGTATCTAATAAATTCATAAGTAATTGCGCCATTTCTATTTTATTTAAAATAAATTTTTTGCTATAGAACATACATAATTTAATATTTGAAAATATTTACGTGAATTTTCTGATGATATATATGTTTTTTTTTTATTTATTAAATAAAAAAATTTGTTTATATTATTGTTAGTAAATTTACAAGAGTTTGAGGATGTTCTATAAAAATAAAATTAAACAGGAAATAATAAAGTTTTAAACGGATAGCACAGCTTTAGTAAGTAGGTTATTAACACATTAGTTTAGTATAAGACAAAAAAGGGTATATAGCTAATATATAGAATATTAACACACTAGTTTAGTTTCTTTTGAAATACACTTTTATCAAAGGATCAAAAAAGTGTTTGATATATTCAGGATAAGTATAGTTTGATATTATTTTCTATGTTTGTTAATAATACTACATATTACTTATCAAGCAATTCTACTACAATCACACTTGCACTTAGATAGAGTAATTATCCCTTCAAATAAACATAATTTTAAAATTTTCCCTATGCAATACTAACCTCTGATCTGACCTTTCTTGTATGGACAATCAATCACACTTTAAGCCGCTTAAAATTCACATAAAAACGTATGCATGAAGTAGCATTTCTTAAATTTTATGACCCATAGAACTTTTACTTTCTCTACTCCATCGACAATTTGCACCAAAGACATTCATACACAGGTTTTGTGCTCATGTCCTGTGTATGCTGGTATCTAAACATGGTTGCATTAGCGCGATTGATATAAATTTAAGTAAAGCTGTACATCATTAAATTTTTGGGTACCTTATGTCCGAATTACCTTCGAATTTAATAAAAGAAACATAAAAATATATTGAAAAATAAGAACGGCAAAGAAACGGGCAAACGGGTATAGGACACAGAATTTATGTCTGTAAGCAAACAGTCACACACTCGCCAGGATACTCGCTGCGAGTTTCTGTGATAAACACCAACGAAAAGTATGTTGGCGTACTTACGGTGAGCACCTGGAAATAAACTCGATATTGTATTAAAGGAACACGCTGAGAATAAATTGAATATGGTAACGATTTCAACATTTTTATTCAATTTTTTTCCATTTTTCCATTTCTTCTTGGGATATTCATTCATCACGCCAAATTTTATTAAGGCATTCGATTTAAGTGCCATACAACCCGGAAAAAGAAGTTCATAAAGTTGGCACAAAGGTTGAAGTTGAAATAGTTATGATTGGCATTATAAAGAACTCTTAATATCAAATATGAATGGAAACTCTATTAAGGAGTTTACTGAATTTGTCTGCTTTGGCAACAGTTGAATGATTAATATGAAAGATTTATATTTCACGATTGCAAATATCTTTGTGAAATATTTGAAAAATTTTTCATTTAAGAAAACTTATTTACTTGGTCTAATCAAGCAGAGACAGAGGAAAGGATACGAAATAAAAACAAGTCAGATGTAGAAAATAGAAAATGTGAAAAAAATCAGGGAAGACATTAAAGAACATAATACTTAAAGCAGAAATTTTGAATATTTCTTTTGTATACGTAATATCTCAAACGTAACGTCCTTTTAGTGGAAAAATAAGACCTATTATCTGAGCAGAGTTTTTAAATATTTTTCTTAATATAATATATGCTATAATTATGTTAATTTCTTTAAGCAACGGTGGCAAACCTTTTAATAAGTGTGGGAGATATACAGATACTTTTTCATTATTGAACTTGTAAATTTCAATAGAAACTCTTATAAAGCATAAGTGCTATTGTTGTTTTATAGAATCAATAAGATATTCCAAAAAGCTAACAACAAAAATAAAATGTAAACCTTACGTGTCACATGTCACGTGCCAAGTATTATACTATCAAATTTGCTTTACTAATGAAGTAAGTGTTGTTCGACAGGAATTTTCATGCTTCCAACTTGTAGTATAAAAGCTATATGTTCACCAGTACTGGACCTAAGCAACAGATATAAGATATATTACGGAAAGAGATGTTTGAGAAAAATGCAGTTAGGATTTAGAAACCTAATATAGCAGCGCATTAAGAAAATAGAAAAACACTTGTGGTATTAAATATACTCTTATCATACTAAAGTTATTCCGAATGAGTTACAGCTGGAGACAGTAGTACTCGCTACATAATCTTTCATTTAAATCAGAACAAAGTCACACAACTAAAGAGTAAAGTGACTAAATGACTTGTCTTTTTCCAAATACAGTCAATACTGATAGTTGACAGTTGATGATTTCGAATCAGGTAACCCGTCAGCAACCCTAGCTTTCTACTGCTGTGGAAAGCAATATATGTATATATTGAGTACAGTATAGTATTAAATATTATATACTCAATAAAATATTTCTGCTGCTCATCATAGTCATTAAATGGACGGGATAGGACTATTTTAGCTTGAGGACTGCTTAGAGTCCAATAATAACATCTTTTGATGACCATCCAGTTAATCATTCCATAAAAAGAATCCACTTTGTACTATTATGCAGTTAAACTGACTTCGACTAGAATATCTGATGACTCCAACCTTTAATTTCAGAACGAACAGCAAATCAGTCATTAAAAAGTGGAAAACTAATTCTAGCTTGACTGTCTCCTATGTTGTGGATATTGATGCATTTTACCGAATTTAGAGATGAATTTGAAAGAAGATCTCAACTGCTTGAATCTTGTCTAGAAGTAATTACTGTAGCACCAATTATCTTATTAGTTTTGGAATCATCAGTATATTATGCGATTATTTTCAGTATTAAAAAAAAATACCATATATTCAAATCCTGTGGTCGAGGATGAGTATTTCAAATTTTCTCTATAGATGCGAAATGTTATGTTCAAGCGATCTGTCCTATTA